AGGCCTGTGGTGGAGAACAGGCAGTCTGAGGCTAAGCAGCAGGCTGGGAATCCGGCTCCACTTTGGAGGAGCTCTGAGACCTTGGACATGCTCCTTAACCTCTCTGGGCCTCAGCCTCCTTGCCAAAAGAATGGACTGGAAATAGTACCTAATCCTGAGGGGCTTTGCACACATTGAGGTCCACCCCCCAGGACCATGCCACCAATTCTAATCACAAAAGGTCAGCAGCTTGAGAAATCTAAACACAAATGGCACAGAGGACACCTTCAATTCCTAAGGGCCTCACTTCCTCAAAAGCAGCTCTCCCTCACTGCCCTGCCCAGAAGGCTGAGCCTGACAGATTTCCTCAGAAGGGCTGGCCTGGCCCCCAGATCCTGCCTGGCCCGCAGATCCTGCCTGCCACGGCCACACCCCCTCCCCAGGGAACGGAGCAGTGGCTCCAGGAGTCTGGGTGTTTCAAAAATAGGCCCCTCTACCATTAGACCAGGCCCCCATTAGAGCAGCGCCTCCAGACTTCAAAAGGACTCTGCCCACCCAGCCAGATAGGGCCATGGGAGACACGTGTGGGAGGTCGGGGCAAGGAAAGCAGCTAGCAGGCAGGGCCCACCCACCCACACTGCCTACCACAGAGGTGAGGAGACGGAGGCCCGGAGCAGGAGGGGACCAGGGGCCAGGAAACACATCTGAGGCTGGGGGTACCTGCACCAAAGACTTCCGACACCTCTTCCACTCAGGCTCAGGTGCAGGGAAGCCCTTCCAGTGGTCAGCACAATGGTGAACAGAGGGACAGAGGCCAAAGGGAGGATGGGCACAGCAGTGACCCACCTACCAGCAACGGCAGGAGGGAGGGGCTCAAAGCAGGGCTGACAGGCTGCTGCCCGGGACTGACACCTCTTCCCTTCTCCAGCTTGAGGATCCCTGAAGGGGAGGCTTCACTGGGCACACAAGCTAAGAGGGGCTGGGAGAGCACCGAGACAGGCAGAGGGGACCACAGGCAAAAGGCGGGCAGGGCCAGGAGAGCACCATGCTCGAGGCAGGCAGGTCAGCAGGCTGGTCCACAGTGCCAGAGAGGAACAGGGGGTAGGCCTGGGGAAGCCAGACAGGGATTCACACATAACTGTGGAGGAGAAAGAACCCAGGATCTTCGGGGCTCTTCTCCCAGAACTATGTCAGCCGTCTGCACCCCATCCTGGCAGTAGGGAAAGCAGAGGTTCATCTCCCAGCCACATACTCCATTTGCGCGCAGAAAACACCTGTGACCCAGGTGGCAGGAAAAAAGAGCACCAAGGAGGACGGGGCTCTGGTCCAAGGCCCTCCACCTCACCTCACCACCCAGTTCCTTCCAGGAGGGCTCCCAGGGAGAGCAGGGAACAGGGGCACTTCAGCCAAGTGGGTCTGCACTCAGGGTTGGGCAATGCCCCAGCCATGATGTGGCAGGTTGTTAAATCAGTGGGCGGCGGCAGCAGGTAGAGCGAGATGCCTATGGCTAGCCAGGGGTGAGGGTGCCATGCCACCTTCCCGGATAGGACAGAGGGCCACTGCACAGAGAGGGACTGATGGAATTTCCTCCACACACAGGCTGCAGGGCTGCCAGCCACTGCTGAGAGTCTCCCAGGTAAAATATTGTCTCAGATGCCTGGGAGGTATTTGTCATGCACCTGAACTTCACTTTAACCTACCTGGGCACTGCTGTCAACCCCAATTTATATATAAGGAAGCTGAGGAACAGAGAGATAAAGTGATTAATTTAAGCAAGGACAGCCAGGCGTGGTACACGTCTGTAATCCCAGCACTTGGGAGGCTGAGGCAGGAGGATCACTGTGAGTTCGAGACCAGCCTGGGCTAATAGTGAGTTCCAGGTCAGTCTCAACTACATAGTGAGACCCTGTCTCAAAAAAAAAAAAAAAAAGAAAAAAAAAAAGAAAAACTTAAGCAAGGACACAGGATCCCAAGGAGGCCATCATCACCTCCTAGGTTGCCCAGGGACATCCAGCCTCCCACCCAAGTCAGAGCGCCCCTTGGCACCAGGAATGAAACACCCAGGCAGTGCGTGCGTCTCCTCATTTCATCCTTGCAAGCCCACACCACAGATGCAAGCATCAGGCTCCCTCCTTGACCATCTCACCCCTGCTGGGGGAGGCAGGGGACAGGAACCAAGGCACCAGACCACAGAGCATGTTCTGTGCCGGAGGTGGGGGTGGACTGTGACCTCCAGACGCCCCCGGCTCTCCGGGCTCCTCCAAGATGCAGACTCACGCCTGGCTCTTGGCTACAAGGCCTCTCAGAGCCGTGAAAGCTCGCTCCCGGCCCAGGCGAGTCTGGAATGGGCCACTCTGGGACAGGTGCCCGTGACGACACTTCTGCTGTGCCCTACAGGCCCTCCAACTTTTTCAGGAAAGCAGGAGAGGGAATACTGATGTCATCTCAGTGTGAATGAGCCTCACACCCCCTTCCTCCAGGTCAGGAGAGGGGAGACAGGCAGCACGTGTGGGTGGCCACACAGATCCTCAGGGTGACCCCAGCTGTAGCAGAGTGGCAAGGATGACTAGCTCAGTGGTGGGAACATCTACCTCCCTGCTAAAGAGACAGGATGCCCAGCCATCCTAAAGTGGGCCTGGAAATGAGGTCAGGCCAGGCACAGGGGGCCCCATAGAGGAGCCTGATTCCTCATCAACCAGAGAGGACCCCCACCAATCAGTCCTTCGGCTTCCGGGCCCCACCTAGCTTCCAAAGACAAGGCACAGCATCCTGACCCCATCCAGACCGCACACATGAGGGCTTCCCTCAGGTGGGGTGCACACAGGGTAAGACTGTACCCCCGGGGCCTCTGTCTTCCCATGTAAATGGGGGACAAATGACATCTACCACATGGGACAGCAGGGGAGACCAGGATTGGGTTGATCTAATCGCAGTTACAAACTGTAAAGTGGTGGGGGGCTGCGTACCTCTAAAGAGAGCTTGCTCAGGTCTGGGCTTCCGTCTTCCTTTTGAGAAGCATCTCTGGCCTGTCACTCCTGCCCCTCCCCATGTCTCATGTGTAAACCCTCAGGCACCTACCTACCTCTGAACCTAACCCCAGACGCCCTCCTGGCACAGAGGTCACTCCTCACCCCACTCCAGAAATCAGCCACCAGGACACAGCCACCTCTTTTTCACGGAGACATTGCTGGTGGCCACGCCTTTCCTGTTGAATCCTCAACAATCAGAAAGCCCCCCTCCCCACTCCTACACCCTGCCGCGAGAGCCACAGGAAACCCCCAGGAGAACCAGGGCCCTCTGGAAAAGGGAAGATGCCCAGCCCAGTCAGAACGTGCTGTGCTCAGAACAGGCCTCCCCAAACCCCCGACACCCCACTTCCTGCGGGGCACTGCAGACTTCCTCTCAAACGCCTGCTTGTCATTTAAGTCTCTCCACTAGCCTCGTCCAAGACCATAATGCCTTCCCGATGTTACAGATTTAATGTCCTTGGCCATTTTTTTTCTCAGGCACACTAAAACAAATGCTTTCACATTTTAAACGTGCTCATCCACATGTAGGCAGAGACCCCTGCAGAGCCTGGTCCACTCTGAGACGTGAAGGTCTAGCCCCACCCTCACGTCACCCACCTGCACATCTGTGGCTGAGCTGGTGACAGCATTAGTCACACAGTCCTTCCAGGCAAAGCCAGCCACACCACAGCCTCCCATCCAGGCCTTGGAGCCAGGGGCCTGCTGTGTGGAGACGTGGCCCAGCCCCACATCCCAGCCTTCGGCCGCCTCCCCTGGGGCTGGCCTGGGAGGAAGGCCCAGTCCCAGTTGGCCCTGCCGCTGAACCCGCCATGACATGGAGAGGAGGCACCTGCTCAGCCCGCGGCTGTGTACATGTGTTCAGACGAGCACACAGGAAGATCCAGGAGGACCCCTCCCTCCCACGCCACCCCCCTTGGTTCCGGAGGCCACTCCAGGGAGTGGAGGGAAGGGGCATCTGTAGTCTCCATCCATTTTAAAGGTTTAATCTGTTTGTCTCTTACTTGTGGCTCTGGAGGCAGAACCCAAGCCCTCACACTTGCTAGGAAAGTGTTCCACCACTGAACTACACCTCCAGGCTCTACTTGCCAAGTTGCTTTTGTGTTTTTATTTTGTTTTTTGATTTGTTGTTATTTACTTATAAAATAAATTCCCTTACCAATTTTCACTTTCTTCAAGAAAAGGAAAGTGTACTTGTAAATGTAAAATTACAGCCTTGAAAAGAAACGTGGGTATCTAAGTGCCTGTGGTTCCCAGAATTCTAGGTGGAAGCAGCCAAATGAACAACACTGTGGTCACAACGGCACTTTCTTGTCAGGGTGGGAAAGCCCGTGACAAGTTGTCTCTGGTCCCCTGTCAAGGAGGCGCCTCTCTCCCCTGTCTGCCCAGGAAACCCCAGAGCACCCCCAAACCAGGCCCATGGGGCCTCCCAGGCAGCTGGGCTGAGGACCTGTCCAGCCCCGTCCCAGCAGTCCGGGCCTCGGGGATGGGTGCCACCCCATCCCCACACCCCGCCTTACCTGGCTCTCCTGGGACCCCTCAGCGGCCAGAGCAGGCTCTGAGCCTGCAGGGAGGTGGCCTGGCCCTTGCCTGCCCTTCTGCAGACACATGTGGAGACTCCCTCCACCGTCTACCTAATGAGCGTGAGTCACATCTGGGACCCACCACTTCCTGCTCCGGCGGCGGCTCAGTGCCTCTCGCCTGCCGGCTTCTTGCTCACCGGCCAGCTTGGGCTGCGAGAGGGACCCTCTCCAGTTGGGGGAGCCACCAGGCCAGGCTCCCAGCTTCAATGACTTCATGGAAATTTGAAGCTTGAAGCTGGAATGATTTTGAAAAAAAAAAAATAATAAAACGAGAACCAAAAACCTCCATTAGAGGCTCCAAGACAACTGCTCCAAGAAGGGAGCAAATGCATCCTTAATAAGCAATTAGAGGCAGACAGCCTGGCACGGTGCCTTGGCCCAGCTCTCTACCGCCAGACAGCTCCTCTTCCCTCCCTGGAACTTGGTTTCTCCATGTAGGTCATGAGGCGGCCCAGGAGACAGCCTGAGAGGCCACAGGTCTGCATCTAGCTCGCTACCTCTCCATTTCACACCTGTGCCGGCCAGGGCGCGGCCTTGGAGTTTCTATTCCAGACAGTGGAGCCCCTGGAACCCAGCAGCCAGGACCATGAGGCCAGGAGTCGAGCCCCAGCTCCTCTTCTATTCCACCAAAATTGTGGGGGGCTCGGTGGTGAGACAGAAAACTGGGACAGGCTGGGGACCTTGGAGCAAGAACCTCCCAAGATGGAAGGGGACACTTTGGGCCTTCCCTGGGGATAGCACTGCCTGGTCCTCAGGGAGCCCTCTGAGCACATGACTTGGGTCCAGGGACCTGACTCTTTTTTTTTTCCCCCTTCCTTCCTCTGTTCCTTTTCTGCCAGTCTTCTTCCCTCCCCTCTCACACTTTCTTCACCCTCCCTTCTTTCCCTGCCTCCCTCCCTCCCTCCCAAGACAAGGTCTTGCTATATAGCCTAGTCCAGGCTGGCCTTGAACTTGCTATGTAGCTCAAGCTAGTCTCAAACTTGAGATCTCCCTCCCCTTCCTCGGCTTAGGGTCAGCTATTGCTAACTCAAGGTCTTCCAGCCTCTGCACCCTCTCCCCATCACAGCTAACTTGCTGCTCTGCCTTCCTAGAGAGTGGCCACACCATCAGGAGACGTGTCCCTGGTGCCCAGCACCTGTAAGGCACAGAATGGACGTCCAGTGCATGTTGTGGACTGAACATAGTAGGTGTAATTTTGATGCCAGGCTCTTGAGGTCACCTGGGGGCTTATAGTAGGTGACCTCAAGGTCCAACATATGGTGTGGAGACGGGTATAGCATCCACACAGGGCTCTGGGCTGCTGCCTGAAGGGTGTGGGACCCTCCTGGCGTTGGCCACTTACTTTCTCCTTTCATCACACATCTCATAGTCCTAGGCATTTCAAAGCAGGGAGGGGACAGCCATCACCGAGAGAAGGACAGGGCAAGCCACGGACCAGGAGAAGAAGGTATTCAAAACACACACTACTATCTAAAGACCCTCTCCAGAACATATTAAGATGGTTCACAAATCAGTAAGAAAAAAGGTAAACAGTCCCATTAAAAGAAAGGCAATAGCCAAACACAGTGGTATCCTTCTGAAGTTCCAGCTACCCAGGAGGCTGAGACAAAAGGATCCCTGGAGCCCAGAAGTTCCAGGTCAACGAAGGAAACACAGCAAGACTGTGTCACAAATAAAAAACCAAAAAAGATGGGCAAAAAACTTAAACAGGTCTCTCAACAATGCAGATATCAAAAGGATCAAGATACTCACCATCAACTATCAGCAAATTAAAACCACACTGAGATTCTATTATGCTAGAGTAGCTAACATTATAAGGAAAATACCAAGTATCAACAAGGATGTAGAGAAACTCCAACCCTTGAACGCCGCTGGTGGAAACACAGAGGAGCTGCCGCGTTGGAAACCCACTTGGCAGCAACCACCGCTAACCACACGCCCGCCCCGCGACTGTGATCCACACTTGGGTGTTTACACAGAAGTAACAATGTGCACAGAGGACTTGCACCCAAATGTCCAATAAATCACAATTATCAAACTGGAAACAACCAAATGTCCTGCAACAGGTAAATGGATAAACAGATTTTTCACAGATTTACACAATGGAAAATTACTCAGTAATAAACAGGAAAGGAGGCTGGGGATTTAGCTCAGTGGTTCGGCTGCCTGCCTCGCAAGCACAAGGTCCTGAGTTCGATCCCCGGTACAAAAAATAAAAATTTTAACAAAGGAATGGATGGAAGGGACCAGGGATGTAGCCCAGTGGTGCTGCATCTGCCTGGCCGCGGCAAGGTCCTGAGTTCAATCCCCAATATCTAATAAAAGGAATAGATTACTGATAAATACACAAGACTATGAATCAATAGTATACACATCGAGAATTAGGGAACCAGACATAAAAGCACATCCACATGTTCCCATTGACATGAAACTTCAGAAAAGAGCAGTCATTCTGGGCACCATGGTGCATGCCTGGGAGGTGGAGGCAGGAAGATGGAAAGTTCGAGCCCAGACAATGTAGTGACTCCAAATAAAAATAAAATAAGGAATTTAGATCTGTGTGAAAGTCCTCGGTTCTATCCCCAGGACAAGGAAGAACAGAAGGGAAGTGGAAGGAGAGAAGGACAGGAGAAAGGGCAAGAGGGAAGGGAGAGGGAGAGGGACAGAAAGTTTGGGGGGTAGAAAAGAAAAAAAAGAAATGAGCAGCCACACCTGCAGTGACAGGCATTACCCCTAGGGAGGTGAGACCTAGGGCCCAAGAGATTCTGTATCTCAGTCTCACGCCGGAGACACCGGTGTGTACAGAGGTGAAGCTCGTCTCTGTGTACACTTAACACCAGTGCCATTGACTGTGTGTAATCACACACCCATGTGTAACAGGCGTCCACTACTCCCTGACTAGGCAGACTGGGAGGAAACAAGGCAAGCTGGCTCTGAGCCAGCGGGCAGAAGCCAACCAGAGCCGGCTACCGAGGGAGGGAGATTCGGTGAGAAAAGCCCGGACAGAGGGGCCGGGAGGGGAAGGGGCCAGGAGAGGCTGGGGGCAGGAGTGACGGCAGCAGTGTGCGGCGGCAGCTTGAGGAAGACAGAGAAGCCGGGACACGGGAGGGGCTCCCCACTGTCAGGCCCACAGGGCTCTCGACCACGCAGAGCGGGCTGCACAGCTGTGTGACAGCAAAGCGGCCATGGGATAACTGAGCAGCACCCTTCCCAGCTCACACCTCAGAGGACGCAGTGCTGGTTACGCTCTCCCTGACACAGCCCACACCTCGCTCCAGCCCCACTGCACCTGACCCTCGTACCTCCAGGGTCCACCCACACACAGAGGTCCGGACAGCCGTGCTCAGCACTGGGCCTCGCTGAGTGTGGGCGGTGCACTAAGGCTTCACACAGCAGCTCCTCTTATTCCCCGTCCACCCCATGGGGAAGATCCTGCCGCTGTCCCCTCTACCAAAGAGGAAACCGAGGCTCAGAAAGGCCAGGTCACTTGCTCAAGCACACAGTTACCAAAGGCACAGTGAGGATTCGGTGTCAGCTGTCTGACTGCAGGGCCTGTCTCTTCACGGACCCCAGCCCTCGACAGGAGCAAGGAATAGGCTCACCACCCACACACCTCTCCAAGCCCTGGTGTGTTGTGCTCCCCAGTTTGCTAAGCAAATTCTCCATTGTTATTTTTGTTTTTGTTTTTGGATAGGGTCTCCCTATATAGTGCAGGCTGGCCTTGAACTCGTGTGATCCTCCTGCCTCAGCCTCCTGAGAGCTCGGATTACAGGCGTGTGCCACCAGGCCTGGCTTCAATCTTTCCTTCATCTCCCTACGAGGAGGCAGCCTTAGCAACAAGACAAGAAATACTGGGTTCTGCATGCTCAAGGGGCCAGGCCCCAGACCCAATCCTTTCCTGTCTCAGGAAACAACCCCACCCTTCTCCCTGGGGCCAGCGACCCAAAAGTGACTTTGGCACAACAGTCAGGCAGTGTCACAGGCTGGGAGCAGGGACTCATCAACATGGCCCCAGAGCTGGGGAAAAGACCTCCTCCCCTGGGAGAAAAGGCCTCCATGGAAAAGGGGGACAAGATGAGATCATAGGAACAGAACTGCAGCCAAAGCAAAGCAGGCAGCGCTATCAGTCAGTCGAGGAACAAACACTGCCACATGCTGAGCACACAGCCCCACTGCACACAGATGTGGATCCCGGCCCTACTGGAAGGAGCCCACGGTGCCCAGCAAGGTTCAGACTCAAGGCACATTCCTGCAAGGGCAGGGGTGTGAGGAGGAACCATTTCCTTTCCCCGTCGGGGGGCTCACTGCAGCCCTCGGAGGTGGCCTGAGCAGGGGTCTGTGCAAAACGGGTACAGAGGCCACCTCTTCTGGGAAGCCTTCCCCAGGCCCATCACCCCCATCTCCCGGGCCCCTGTACAGGTTACACACTGTCAACCTTTCTGTGGCAGCCATGGGAAGCAGCCCCGGCCTCCACGGCTGGGCTGAGGGAAATGGGCACAGGGCTCAAGGAGGGCCACTGAGACACAATCCTGAGGCTTTTGTTGGGACTATGTGGGAGAAGTGCTCTCCTTGGTTCCTCAAAAAACTAAAAATGCAACTACCATATAACCCAGTTATACCACTCCTGGTGGTATAACTATTCCTGACGGAATTTAAGTTATACCATAGAGAAACCTGTATATCTAGGTTTACTGGGTCAAAACTCACAAGAGCCAAGACATGGAACCAGCCTAAGTGCCCATCAACAGATGAATGGGCAAAGAAAATGTGGTACACAAAGCCGAGCATGGTGGTGCACACCTGTAATCCCAGCACTCTGGAAGGCTGAGGCAGGAGAGTCAAAAGTTCGAGCTCAGCCTGGGCAATTTAACAACTTAATGAGATCCTGTCCAAAATTAAAAAAAAAAAAAGTGTTGGATATGGAGCTCAGTACAAAGGCTCTGGGTTCAACCTCCACAAGAAAGAAAAAAAAGCAGCAGCAGCAAAGAGGGGACAGGAGGAGAAGGAAGGAGGATGAGAGGGCAGGAGAGAGGGAGGGAGGGAGGCAAGAAATGTGAGACATATATACACAGTGGAGTATTATTCAGCTATAAAGAAGAACGAAGGCATGTAATCTGCAAGAAAATGACTGAACTGTAATTCATCATGTTCAACAAAACAAGCCCGACTCAAAAAAGATAAGTA